CAGTGGTCAGCTCTGACTGCATTTGGATGATTCAATCCCAGCCGCCACATCCCAGTGGTCAGCTCTGACTGCATTTGGATGATTCAATCCCAGCCACCACATCCCAGCGGTTGTCAGGTCTGATTGTATTTGGAATCAGCTCGGGAATTTAAAAATATGCTCTTGGGCCCCACGCCCAGAGATTCCGATTCGATGGCCCTTGATGGGCTCAGGGAACCAAGTGAGAATTTAAGTCTAATAAAAGAGTAAAACCCACCCAAGCCCAGATGGTCCACGTTCTGAAGACACCTAAGCTCCAGGTAGGGGGAGTGGATAATATGCTTCCCGCTCAACTGCGGTGTTTTCTCACAGGGCGGTCCATGGACCCGCTGCCTCAAAGTCACCTGGCGGCCGGGGGCTGGGAAGGAGGAGCACAGGCTGGTTGAAAACGCAGGTGGTTGGGCCTCCCCGGAAACAAGAGGGATCCACAATGCTCTGGAGGTCGGGCTCAGGAATCCGCACGGGGGCCAGGCTCCGCAGCTCAGCCCAGCGATCCCTGCACTTTGGGAGGCCGAGGTGGGCGGACTGCTTGAGCTCAAAAGTTTGAGACCAGCCTGGGCTGCCTAGAGAGACCCCAAATCTACAAATAATAAAACGTTAACTGGGTGTGACGGTGCACGCCCGTAGTCCCAGCTACGTGGGAGGGCGAGTTGAACTCAGGAGGTCGAGGCTGCAGTGAACCGTGATCATGCCACAGCACTCGGCCTGGGCGAGAGAACAAGATACTGTCTCAAAAAAACAAGGAAAAAAAAAGGAAAAGCTTCGCACTTGGTCCCACCATGCCCTGGTTTTTACTGAGGGCGATTCTTTGAAGGAGGTGGCGTGTCCACTGGGAAAACGTGTGAGCAGGGCTGAACCGTCTCACTGGATGGATGAAGTGAGGGGAGGAGATCTCCGGAAGGAGGCCACGGCGACGGCCCTGAGAGGGGCCTGGAGGAGCACGGCCCACACGTGGCCAGCAAGACCAAGGCCTGCAGGGCGTGGCAGCTCCAAGCAACCAGGTGCACTCACCGCCAAGGCCAGGAGAGTGACGCGGGGGGCTAGGACTTCGCTATGTCATATTTTAAAGAGGAAAAACCTCACTCGGCCTGCCTCTCACCGTGAAGGGGCAGCTGCCACGGACGCAGCTCTAGAAGCCGGGGTCTGAGCTCTCCCTGCTTTCCCACAGCCTCCACGGCCCTCCGAGCAGGGCTTCTTTCGGCCCATGAATGAAAGCTCCTAGGAGGGACATTCAGATCCCCGTAAAAATCTTGAAACCATGTCCTAGGGAATACTACAATTTCACCAAGATAACATTCTCTAGCCACGTAAACCCAGGTGTATCTATTTCACGAGGACTCTCTCTACCGGTGGGACGGCGATGAGGGTAGGGGCATGGAGGAAGAGGGGCTGGGTAAAAAAAGGACCATATGGGCCGGGCGCGGTGGCTCAAGCCTGTAATCCCAGCACTTTGGGAGGCCGAGACGGGCGGATCACAAGGTCAGGAGATCGAGACCATCCTGGCTAACATGGTGAAACCCCGTTTCTACTAAAAAATACAAAAAACTAGCCGGGCGAGGTGGCGGGCGCCTGTAGTCCCAGTTACTCGAGAGGCTGAGGCAGGAGAATGGCGTGAACCTGGGAGGCGGAGCTTGCAGTGAGCTGAGATCCGGCCACGGCACTCCAACCTGGGCGACAGAGCGAGACTGTGTCTCAAAAAAAAAAAAAAAGGACCATATGCACGAGTACTCTGTCTACCGGGGGGACGGCGATGAGGGTAGGGGCATGGAGGAAGAGGGGCTGGGTAATAAGAGGACCATATGCACGTGCTGAGGTTTTACCTTCTGGGTCATCTCGGATCACCAGCAGCCCGTTCCTGCACACAACCTTCCCGGTGGTGGCGTCGAGGAATATTAGCGATGGAATGTTGGAAATTCGGTATTTGTTCCAAAGTTTGAGCTGTATGAAGAAAAGTAAAAGAAGGTGGTTAAGTCCAGACCAGATTCATTGCCGAGTTCTTCTTGCAGAGTCCTTTTGAGCCCCTTAGGCCTGGAGGCTGGAGGAACTGGCAAGCATTCAAGACACAGAAAAGAACAATGGATCCCAAGCAGGGCTGCCGGGCAAAGGGGCACGTTAACTACAATCCCACTGGCCCCCAGGGTCCGCACGGCGCAGGGGACTCTGAGGTGGAGGCTGACGGAAGACCACACTCATCCTGGAGCGTACGACCCTTTTACGTCTCTAAAAATCACGAAGATGAAGATGGATGTCGCATCTTCACGACACACTCAGACCACCGGGTGGTTAAGGAAGGAAGGGAAGATTTTCATGAGAGCCTCGCCCCCCTGGCAGCAGACAACAGCGGCTGCTCTCCATGGCCCCTTCCCACCAAGAGAGAAGAGACGGGTTTTCCAATAGAAGGCCACGTAGTTACAATCTGCCCCCTCAGCCCTTCACCAGGTCCCTGCACTTGAAATATCACAGTCGTCGTTATGTTCCCTGCAGAGCACGAGGGAAGCAATGCCCAGAGCCAGCCCCAATCCTTGGCTCTCGGTGCCGCATAAAACCTGCTTCAGTCTACTGGCAGATTCTTGAGGTTGGCTGTGCACACGGTCGGACATCCACGGTCTAAGACGAATGACGCTGAGAACATGGAATGCAAAGCGCAGGACTGGAAGCCGAGCGTGGGCGGCCTCCTCTGTTCGCTCACTGCCGTTGGGGTGAACGCCATATGGGCAGGTGACTGGGTGCTCTAGAACTTCCCCGCCAAGCCCAAAAACCAACATAATTAAATGCGACGTTGGGGCTGGGCGCAGTGGCTCACACCTGTAATCCCAGCACTTTGGGAGGCCAAGGCAGGAGGATCACCTGAGGTCAGGAGTTCAAGACCAGCCTGGGCAACATGGTGAAACCCTGTCTCTACTTAAAATACAAAAATTAGCTGGGCGTGGTGGTGGGCGCCTGTAATCCCAGCTACTCAGGAAGATGAGGCGGGAGAATCGTTCGAACCTGGGAGGTGGAGGTTGCAGGGAGTTGAGATCGCGCCACTGCACTCCAGCCTGGGTGACAGAGCGAGACTCCGTCTCAAAAAAAGGAAATAAATGCATTGTTGAGCTAGCAATGTACCTCCAGAAAAGACATAAACAGGGAAGCTGCAGGGTGCCCCACTGTTTAGGCCACTCAGCTGTGAGCTTCCCTGCTTGGGGCCTTGAGGGTCTCTGGAGGAAGGCTGGGCCTTTGGGCAGAACAGGGCAAGGATGTGTCGCAGGAAGGCAGGCGTGAGAAGGCAGCAGCAGAGAGAAGAACAGAGAGAAGAGGGCAGTGCGTGGCGGGACGAGGACTGTCCCGAGTCCCATCCCAGGCAGTGAGGGGAGGGCAATGCTGGGCTTCCTTGTCTGTGGAGACCTGTATCTTGGCAGGAAGGGCTGTGGGACCCCACCCACCTCAAACTACCCTCAGTCTGCGTGTTTTTCCCAGCCCCACCTTTCTGGGGGGCTCACAGAACCAGCCCAGGACCTCACAACAAGAATAATTCTGCACATTGTTTTTGTTTTTGTTTTTAAATGGAGTCTCGCTCTGTCGCCCAGGCTGGAGTGCAATGGTTCTATCTCGGCTCACTGTAACCTCCACCTCCCGGGTTCAAGCGATTCTCCTGCCTCAGCCTCCTGAGTAGCTCGGATTATAGGCATCCACTACCACGTCTGACTAGTTTTTGTATTTTTAGTAGAGACGCGTTTCGCCATGTTGGCCAGGCTGGTCTGGAACTCCTGACCTCAGGTGATCCTCCCGCCTTGGCCTCCCAAAATGCTGAGATTATAGGCGTGAGCCACCACGCCCAGACCCGGTTTTTAATGACCACGATTGCATCATTCCAGAGAAACTTGGTACAGAATTCAGATTAAACATCCTTAAGAGGTTCAACAACAGAACCAGACCATCCTGCCGCCGGGATCTGCTTCATAAGTTTGCTGTGCAAGGATTGAGCCAGGTTAATTTTTTTTTAAAAGGAAGATTAAAATGATGAGTTTTTCTGGTTTAAAAAGTAATTCTTGGAGGAAAAAAAATCATTGGAAAAAAGTTGGGAAACATAGCAAACCGCAAACATTGAGATTAAAAATTACCCGTGACTCACCATGTAGGAAAGCTTAGACCGTTTTATATTTCCACCAGTGGCAAATGAAGGAGCCCATGTCCTAGTGCCTTCACCAACATTATCACTGTCATCACTTTTTCCAGTCTGCTAGGGGGAAAAATGATGCCTCATTTTTGTTGCTTATCCGTTTTTTTCTTTTTTTGGCGGTGGGGGCAGGGAGCAGACAGAGTCTCACTCTGTGGCCCAGGCTGGAGTGCAGTGGTGAGATCTCAGCTCACTGCAACCGCCGCCTCCCAGGTTCAACCAATTCTCTGCCTCAGCCTCCTGAGCAGCTGGGATTACAGGCACCCGCCACCAGCCCGGCTAACTTTTCTGTTTTTAGTAGAGATGGGGTTTCACCACATTGGCCAGGCTGGTCTTGAACTCCTAACCTCAGGTGATCCGCCTGCCTCGGCTCCCAAAGTGCTGGTATTACAGGCATGAGCCACCACACTCAAGACTTTTTTTTTTTAAAGTTCTGGGATACACGTGCAGAATGTGCAGGTTTGTTACATAGGAAAACACGTGCCATGGCGGTTTTCTACACCCATCAACCCGTCATCTACATTAGGTATTTCTCCTAATGCTCTCCCTCCCCTTGCCCCCTACCTGCCAACAGGCCCCGGTGTGTGATGTTCCCCTCCCGGTGTCCATGTGTTCTCATTGTTCAACTCCCACTTATGAGTGAGAACATGCACTGTTTGGTTTTCTGTTCCTGTGTTAGTTTGCTGAGGATGATGGTTTCCAGCTTCATCCATGTCCCTTCAAAGGAAATGAACTCATTCTTTCTTATGGCTGCATAATATTCCATGGTGTCTATATTCTTTCTTATGGTTGCATACCATGCTGTCTATATTCTTTTTTATGGCTGCGTAGTATTCCATGGTGTATATGTGCCACATTTTCTTTATCCAGTCTATCATTAATGGGCATTTGGGTTGGTTCCAAGTCTTTGCTATTGTATATTTACTGCAATAAACATAAATGTGTATGTGTCTTTACAGAAGAGTGATTTATGATCCTTTGGGTATACACCCAGTAATGGGATTGTTGGCTCCAGTGGTATTTCTGGTTCTAGATTCCTGGGGAATCACCACACCGTCTTCCGCAATGGTTGAACTAATTTACACCCCCATTGACAGTGTAAATGTTGCTTATCTTTGACTTACTGATGTGTAGGAGATATGCTGTTGTCAGCACGCTGTGTTTTACCCCGCTATGTTTTATAACTGGTAAGAGCTGAAAGTCATTCAACAGAAAGCAACTGAGTACCTACTGTGTGCCAGGCTTGTTCTAAGCACAAGAGATTCAGGAAAGAGATGAGGCTGCTGCCCTGGTGGACTTCCTCCTCCAGTGGGAGAGACAGACAATAAATAAGAATATAAATAGGAACCTAATTTCAGACACTGGCAAGTAACAGAAAGACAACAGGGCGGGTAAGATCACGGCTGCGACTGGGAAGCTGGGACGGCGGCGTGGATTCTGGAGACGGGCATCTGGGAGGAATGACATTTGGGCACAGACCTCAGCAAGGAAACGGAACGAGCCACGGGCACGCTGCGGGAGGCCACCTGAGGCCCAGGAACCCGTGTGGAGGCTGGGGACTGACTGCGAAGGCCGGAGGAGACGGAGCCACAGAGAACCAGGGGTGGCGGCTGTGATGAGGTCAGAGATCATCTTAAGATTTGTGAACCAGATCGTCAAGGCCCCGTGGACGATGGCAAAAATAACAGGTCACAGGGAGTGAGGTGACCTGATTTACAGTTTAAAAGGCCATTTGGGGCTGGGTGCCATGGCTCACGCCAGTAATCCCAGCACTTTGGGAGGCTGAGGTGGGCAGGTCATTTGAGGTCAGGAGTTCGAGACCAGCCTGGTCAACATGGTGAAACCCGTCTCTACTAAAAATATAAAATTAGCCAGGTATGGTGGCAGGCACCTGTAATCCCAGCTACTCAGGAGCTGAGGCAGGAGAATCACTTGAACCCCGGAGGCGGAGGTTGCTGTGAGCCGAGATCGCGCCATTGCACTCCAGCCTGGGCGACAAGAGCAAAACCCCGTCTCAAAAAAAAAAAAACAAAACAAAGATCCTCTAATCTATGCTGATTGGGTTAATCCAGAAAAGAAACCTGAGAGAGAAACAGGAAAAAGGGTGAGACCTAGATCACAAACGGAAAAGGGCCAGGTTATAAAAACAGCCGACTTTTCAATGTAGTTACCCCTCGGCTGGGTGCAGTGGGTCACACCTGTAATCCCAGCACTTAGGGAGGCAGAGAGGGGTGGATCACCTGAGCCGAGGACTTCAAGACCAGCCTGGGCAACACAGTGAGACCCAGTTCTCCATTAAAAAAAAACTCCACAAGTCTACAGTATGCAAGAGGATGTACATAGGTGATATGCAAAAACTATGCCATTTTATATCAGGGACTTGAGTATCAGTGTTGGGGGGAGGGTCCTGGAACCAGTCCTCCACAGATACTGAGGGACAACTTTATTTATTAATTATTATTATTATTGAGATGGAGTCTCGCTGTGTCATGCAGGCTGGAGCGCACTGGCACGATCTCGGCTCACTGCAACCTCTACCTTCCAGGTTCAAGTGATTCTCATGCTTCAGGCTCCTGAGTAGCTGGGATTACAGGCATGTGCCACCATGTCTGGCTAATTTTTGTATTTTTATTAGAGAACACGTTTCACCCTGTTGGCCAGGCTGGTCTCGACTCCTGACCTCAGGTGATTCACCCGCCTCGGCCTCCCAAACTGCTGACCTACTGCACCTGGCCTTCCATAACTTTTTGACCAAAATTTTATCAGGAATGGATGGCTACTGATTATTCTTTGAACCTGTTATTTTTCATGAGTGTCCAGTCTAAGATTAAACTATCCTTGCCTTCTTAGAAGAAATCGTCCTTCCATGTATTATTCAGGGATCACCAGGATCTTATGTTCCGTGGGGCTTGGGGCTCCCACAAGCAAATGCCACCTTGTAGCAGGAGTCTCTCTGTGGGTAGCTGGACTGTTGCCTGGAGTAAATTTCAGCCTGTGACCCTCAAATGTAAAGCTAGCAGATGAAACACGATTATAAGAGTGGTTTGCATTTAGGCACCTCTGTTACCCTTCAAATGTAAGCATGTGCTTTGCTC